GGGGCTGGTGTGAAAACGCGTTCGGGATGGGGCGAGGCCGGGACGTGGTGGGCGTGTCCAACAAGTTGGTTGGGCCTAGGCGTTTGGGGGCGGGGCTCCCACGAGGCTAGACCTGATTGGGGGCGGTGCGTCTGGGGGCGGATCCCGGGGGAAGAGGGGCGGGCAGTGGGGGCTGGACCCGAGTGCGAGCCCGAGAATGAGATATGTAGTGCAGGGAGCCCTGAACTGGGGTGCAGACCCAGACGCAACAACCCTGACCCGGTACCTGTACTTGTCTGAGCACTTTACACGCATGAACTTATTTAAATCCTCACTGCAACCCTGCGAGGGCGATATTACCCGGGCTCTCTTGTTTTTTGTTTTTGTTTCCGAGTTAGAGTCTCACTCTGTCACCCAGGCCACCGCAGCCTCGACTTGCTGGGCTCAGGCGATCCTTCCGCCTCAGCCTTCCAAGTATCTGGAACCACAGGCATGTGCCACCATGCCCGGGTGATTTTTTTTAAATTTATTGTAGAGGTGAGGTCTCGTCATGTTGCTCAGGCTGGTCTCGAACCCCTGAGCTCAGGTAATCCCCTCGCCTCTGCCTCCCAAAGTGCCGGGATTATAGGCGTGAGTCACCGCACCCGGCTGGGTCTCTCTTGTTTACAGACTGGGAAACTGAGGCCCAGAGAGACAAGGACACACAGTTCGTAAGTGTCCTTGACACTTCTGGATGGAACCCAGGCCAGCTGTGGAGACACTTAGGGAGCCCATCTTGTGGGGGCTTGCAGCCACATGGCAGTGATGCTCCAGGTCCCCGCCAAAACCTGCTGGAGGATCTAGGAGCATCCAGTAAGCCCTAGGCAGATCAGGCAGCCATTGCAGGGTGAGTGCCAGCAGGAGTGGTCTCTTCATGTTGCTGGAGTTCTTTATTTCTCACCTGGGCTGGTTTAGGGGTCACTGGCTTCACCAGCACCTTCTGTGCCATGCTTGGCTTTGGCCAGGTCCTCCATCCATACTGGGCTCCCTGGGCTCCCAAGAGGCAGCCCTTGAAAGCTAACCCCCAGGCCCATGCAGGACACCTTTGCCCCATGATGCTCTGGGAGGGTCTCCCTCCTATGACAGCTGTTGGCATCTTCACCTCATTGGGAGAGCCCAGCATCCTTGGGAGTGTGTTCAGTGGTCCGTGTATTGGCCGTTGAGGCTATGGTGTCATCTAGCATCTTGGCATGTGGAGAATGAGGTGGACGTCTCTCTACCTGGAATATCTGGGTAGTGAAAGGCTTCCAGGCACAGGGAGAGGGAGTGCCAGTGCAAAGGTCTAGAGCCGCCCATAGCGCCGTGGGCTCTGGCAGCTGGAGGCAGGTTGATAATGTCCCTGGCAGGTGAGGCCGTGGGCTCGGCAGGTGTCAGGCCCGAGGTCTCTCTCTGAAGGCCCGGGGGAGCTTTGGAAGGGTTTTGGACACCAGAGATCTGAAGGGCCTCTGGAGGTGGGACCAGACTCACATCCTGCTACCACAGGTGCCATCTCCATTCAGCCCGCCTGGGAGCTGCTCCCAGGGCCCTGGTGGGCGCCACCCAGATGTGGCACTGCTGGGGTAGGGGGCATTTCTCCCCGGCTGCCCCTCCAGGTTTCCGTGGTCACTCCCTGCTCGTTCTTTTTGACCTTTTGCTGGTATAAATAGCCCAGTCCCCAGTGTTTGCCAGCATCATTTTACCCTTTGGGCTATTTCCTTGAAGCGTGTTCCCAGAAGCACAGTTACTGGGTCAGGGGCGATAGAGAGGCGGCACCGTTCCCAGGACTTGTCTCCAGAGGCTGCTTCCTGGAAACCCTGGTCCAGCTTCTGCAGCAACTGGCACAGGAGGGGGGAGCTGCCTGCCCCGCTGCCTCCCCCACTGACCTCCTTTTCCTGCAGTGAGCAGGTGCCCCCCGACCTTCCCCAGCCAGTTGCTAGCAAGTGTCTAACCCACAAAGTCAGCGTTTTCCAAACTGACCATCTGGATGTGTCACCTTCACCACTTGTGCTGTGTCAGAAGACCCCTCTATTCTCTTCCAATATTTGTCTTTCAGTCCACTCAGGTTTTCGCTTTGTTAGCTAGGAAAAGGAAGCTGCCCATGGCACTGGCAAATTAGAAAGAAAGGAAGAGGCCCGGGCGTGATGGCTCATGCCTATAATCACCTGGCTTTGGGAGGCCGAGGCTGGAGGATGGCCTGAGGCCAGGTGTTCAAGACCAGCCTGGGCAGCATAGTGAGACCCTGTCTCTACAGCAACCCCCTCGGATTCCCTCCCACTGTGGGAGCTTTTCTTTTCTTTTTTTTTTTTGAGTTGGAGTCTCACTTTGTCACCCAGCCTGGAGTGCAGTGACCGCTCCCGGCCACTGCAGCCTCGACCTGCTGGGCTCTGG